ATCTCATTCAAAATTTAACATTAAAATTATGTGTAGTTATATATTAAATATATTAAATATATTTATATTTTTATATATTATATCTATAATATCACTTTTTCACTATATGTAAATTTCTAATAGTGATATAGAATTTTTTTTTTACTGTCATCTAATAATTATAAATCAATATATATATATATATATATATGATAAAATTATTATTTATTACTGATGAGTAATTGTTTAGCACATGCTCATATATCGATTATATATGTTTGTACACTGTCCATATACGCACATAATCTTAATTACTATAGTAACGCTAAAACGATGTGTTATTGCTGTTTCTTTGCATGACATTGTGCATATTGCTTATCATGGGATGGGATGGTTCTTTAATGGGTTTATAGCCACATCTTAATCAGTGGATCGTGAGGGCTGAGTGCTATTTCCACAAAAATTGAAGACACAAAAAGCTGGAAACATGTGTGCTTCGAAGTCAACCCCCAACTTCGAATTATAAATTCCGTCAAATTTAAAGAGAGAAATATATGAATTGCCTTGATTCCTCTCTTTATATATACAACTATAACGTTTTAAACGAGAAATTTCTTAAAATGTAACATTTAGACCGTCTTTTAAAAAAATAGATAATATTAATGATTTAGATTAAAACTCTATTATAGATACCTCTTACTCCTTTGCAATCATTACAAATATTATTTGTACAAATGTTACCATCATTATTATTTTCGCTTCTACCACCGTTATCATCGCTCACATTACTATGATCATTGATGTTAGTATTATTATTATTATTGTTTATCAATATCTCGCCATTATTATTGTTGTTATATATCACTGTCATTGTTTGTCACAATATTTCGTAGTTAATGTTGCTATCACTATCATTATTGCTATTATTATAATCATAATATTGTTATTATTATCATTATCATTATTTTTATTATTATTATTATCACTATCATTATTATTTTCACCACGTGATAACAATTGGTGACGATGATATTTATAGTAGTGATGGTGGCGTTAACGATGATGGTGGAAGCAATAACGATGTACAATGATGGTATATTACAATTGTTTTGGGTGTTGGTAGCAATGAAATAATTGGAGGTAGTGATAATGGTAATTATGGGATGCATATCAATGATCTCATAAGAAGTATTTATAACTAAATATTAATTTCATATGTTAATTATTTTTTCCTATGATCTAAAGATATTCACGATTCTTATTTTTAATTTCAAGAAGATTCTCATTTGAAACTCTATCTTTCTCTCTCACACACACACTATATATATATATATCATATAATTACATATTTAATAATTTTTTTTTAAAATGAAATCAATCCAATCTTTCTATTGGATATTCTTACTAATTAGATCAAATATATAAAATTTCATACAATTCCAAAATCATTTGTTAATTATTATATCACTTTATTTTAACATATAATATGATATCCAAAATACATGTAAATATACATTATTAGATAATATATTAAATAGTCTAAATTATGTGAATATAATTTAATACACTCAATTATGAATGTAATAATACATAATTCAACAATTAGATTAGTTAAATTTAGGGGGGGTGTATTGGTTTAGGATTTCGTAGGATTTAAAAATATATTTTTTTTAGTAAAAAAGTCCGTTGGTATTCAACCAAGATTTTATGTCACTTAAAAACAATCCAGTGGTATTCAATCTGGATTTTCAATATTTTTTAAAGAATCCATTAAAATTCATTGGTATTCATTTGAGATTTTTTACAACTTAAAAATAATCCATTGGTATTCAAAAATATAAGGATTTTAAAGGATTGTTGTGTGAGAGGGATTTTGAGGGACTTTCTAGTGCTATCTATAAATACCAAATTCATAAAACAATGTCATCCAAACCCATCGGATTTTGAAGGATTGTTTGAAATGACTTTTCAAATGCTTCAAGAATTTTCAAGTGAGTTTTTCATCTTTTTTTTTTCTATGCTCCTATCTTCTCCATTTTTTCTCTGCTAATAATATTGCACTATTATTCATTGTTCATATATAATATTGTAGTACTGTTCTCATTTCATTCTCTTATTCTGTGAAACTCTGATATGTAAATGATAGTGTCATTGACTTGCTCTATTTTTCTGTTCGTTCTCTTTAATTAACTTGCTCTATTTTTTCTATTTAGTTGAATTTGTTCCTTTATATAACATAAAAAAATGCTTGAAATTTTAACTTTTAAGTGATAATTTTTTTATAAAACACGTCAAGAAAAGGAAAAGGTGAAAGATGAAATTGATATCATGATCTCTACAATATATATATATATATATATATATATATATATATAAGATGAATTTGAGTTAGGGTTTTTGTGAGTAGAATGAGATGAAAATGGATCTTAATTGGGAGAATAACCCTCTCAACATAAAAACTGCAATCTCTCTCCTTCCCTTGAGTTTGGTATTATTATCCCTCCTCCTTTTATGACTCAACAAATATTTTATTTTTTTTAATATGAATTTTTATTTTTATTTTTATATTGTAAAATTAAAATTTCTTTATATTAAAAAAAATAAAATTAACATAAGACATTGCAGTATCTAATTTTTTAGGGTTTAGGGTTTATGCCTTCATTAACTTAATTATTTTTTTAAAAAAAGGAAATATTTTTAAAATTTCATCTACAAGATTTTGCAGGTAAGGGTAATGACCCTGAAAATGAGAAAGAATTGTTCAATCTTCGTCATGCGTCTTTAAGGAATGTGATCGAGAGAATATTTGGTATTTTTAGATCAAGGTTCACAATTTTTAAGTCAACACCTTCATTTTTATTTAAGACACAAGTAGAACTTGTGTTAGTATGTGCATTACATAACTTTTTACATAAAGAATGTTGTTCTGATGAATTTTCAATTGAAGCGGTGGATGAACTTTTATCTTCAACATTACCAGTTAATAAAGATCATACTTTTGAGCCTATTATTCAAACCCAGGAGCAAGAGCGAGAAGACGCTAATGCTTGGAGGAGTAGTATAGATATGGATATGTGGATAAATGTTATTTAAGAGGATAAGATATTATGGATTATTATTATTATTATTATTTATTTAGACATTGTTGTTTTTTATTATTTTTGTCTTTAACTCTTTTTAAATTTGAATGTATGAATTTTTTTTGAAATCTTATCAAATGTCAAAAATTCACGAAAATTCTACAAAATTCCACAAAATCCATTAAAATCTTGATTTAAAAGTCTTACAAAATTCATTAAAATCCTTATTTTAAGTCTTGCAGAATCCTGCAAAATCTTAAAAGTCATGGAAATCCTGCAAAGTCTTTTAAAATCTACAGGATTTTTTTAACTAAAAAAGTCTTTTAAAATCCTAATCCAATACACCCCCTTATATTTTTCAAAAATACTATTGAATGTGTAATTTTATTAATTTAAAATATATTTTATTAATATTTTAATAAATAATTGTAATCCTTACTGCATCCCTCGTATACTTCATTAAATATTGATAATTAAGTTTATATATATATATATATATATATAAATTAGCTATCAACAAAAATAATAGTTCGCATGTGTTTTTAGGAATTGCTATGATGTACAAGTCGAATTTTGGACTATTTTTTTATGGATTACAGATTATCAAGAATAGATTCTTACATTCTCACATTATAATATAATCTAACTTTTCTATTGCTAATCAATTATTGAATGATGGGTGTTACTGAATATATCCATATTACTTTCTTCAAGAGATTTTTTTTGAATTAGATTGTATTTATATCTTTCAAAAATTAAATAATGTAATTGATAATTTTGGTAAGTTAAGATTAACTCTTTCCGAGAAAATGCATTATTTTAACTCTCCATCAAGTTGGATACAATTTTCATTACTATCTGATAGGTCTGTTGTTTCTTTTCCTCCGAGATTCTAGTTTACAAAATAAAATAAAAAGTACGTATTCTTGTTTCTGCCAAAAAAAAAAATGCATTTTTCGCTAAAAAAAATCACTTTAAAGAGCGAAATCCCAAAAACTTTGTCCCAGAAAAATATACGTCTATTATTAAGAAGTTTTGTTCAGCACGATGGGCTGGTCTGCTGAAAGCCTGAAACAGTGATAGTTCCCGTTAGGATCATCATATATACACCTCTTTTTTTTTAATAAGTACACTCCTTTTTTAAAAAAAATAATTCAAATTTTAAAATACCTTTATTTATTTATTTATTTTTAAATTTTACATTCCTAATATTTAATTTTACTTTTTTTACAAACCTCTTTTTCTTATTTTCACATACACCCCTTAATTTTTCTTCACCCACCTATTTTGGTAAATAATTTTAATTCTTTTAGTTTTACATTATTTTTTTTTCCTTCTGTTTCAATTTTTTCACTGATTTTACTATCTGCAAAGTACTCTAGAATAGTGAAAATATCTGTTTCATAACACTAAATGTGAAGGTTTTTTGGAGAGGTGAAAGGAAAGGAAGTATGGGAAGAAAAAAAATGTGTGTCTAGTTTGATAGAAACTGTCGAGAAAGCTACACGTACCTACAATAATGTCGCCTACCAGTTCTATAATTTGGGTGCACGTAAAAAAGTGAAAGAAGTGAGAAAATAATAGAGCAATGTAAAATCGAGAGAACTAAAATTACCTACTAAAATAGGTGAGGAATTAGAAAAAAAATAAAATGATACATGTGAAAACTGAAAAAAAGAAAGAATGAGGTATGTGAAAAGAAAAAAATAGTAAATTAGAAGAGAAATGTAAAATTACAAATTTTTAAAATAAAAAAATTATGAATATTTTAAAAAAAATATATATAGGAAGTGTACTTAAAAAAAAAAAAGAAAAAAAAAAGGCGTATATATCATTAGCCTTCCCATTAAATAGAAGATGGGCCTCCGCCTTTGCTTTCATTTACTTATGGGCTTTGGGCTTTTAGCCCAGCCCAGTTTTGTGGAGTCCATAGATGGTGTGATTGCAATGCAAGTTGCATCTCTTCTCCATTTTGTGGCATCGCATGGCTCTGGAAGCTTATTCAGCTGCAAACCCTGACAAAATCCACGCCGATGTCCTCACCAAAGCTAGGGAAGCTTGTTACAAGGTTTCTTTTTTTCCTTTCATGTCTCATCATTTATGCTTTCTCTCTCTCTCTCTCTCTCTTTTTTTACTCACTTGTTGATGGGTTTTATGAACGAGGCTCGTGATGCTTTCTACGCGTGTCTCGAGAACGAATCTGACAAGAAGCCCACAGAGATTGCTTCGGTGGGCTTGCTATACCCACTAGAATGCAAACAATGTAGGGATCAATATGTCAAACACTGTCGATCTGCTTGGGTAACATAACCTAACCCCTTCTTCACTTTTGATTTTGTATTCGTAAAAATTGGTGCTTTTCTTAATTGGGTATGTTAAACTTGTTCCAGGTGAAACATTTCGATAGGCAATACTGCCAGAACAAGAGGGTTCAGAGACTTTTGGATGACAAAGGGTCCAGGAGAGGTCCGTTGATGCTCCCACAGCCTCATACTTTCAAACCCAATAATTGACTTTTTTTTTTATCTTTATCAACTATTTATCTAGTAGTGGTTCATACTGATTTCCGTTATAGTTTATGCATGATTCTTTGGCTGTACATTCATCGTGTTACTATACTTTGAGTTCTTACTATTCATGTTGAGGCTTATTTTATTTTATTTTTAAATTTAATGGCAAAGAACAATTTGAATAAATATCTGTATCTAGGAGTTACAAGTCACGGTGCCAAGTGCACTTCAGTGGAGAATAGCCTCATTAGGTTGAGTTTATTCATGTTGGCAGGGGTGTAAACTATAAGGATCGTCTTGGCCCCTGTCGAAGGTGGGAGATCACATCTTGGTATTTCTTTGGGTCATTGTGAATGTGAATTGTGAAATGCGTATCTGAGTCAGTTGCAAAAAGAAGTTCTAGAATGATTTTCGTGTTTTTCTGTATTTTCAGTTCTTGAGGGATGCTCTAGCACTTGGTTTTGACTGTTCTTAATGTAATTGTATACACTTTGACAATTTTATAGTTCCCTCCACTTAGCATTGTTTGTGCTTGAAAGCGTGTGGCTACTGACATTTGGACTGGGAGATTAAAGCATTATTCAAAACTCGAAGGGATAAATGAAATGGCAAACATCGGGTTTAGTCATTTTAGGAGCATTGTTCAAAGTCACTTCTTGCACTGACTTACATGTACTCTTTAAATGGTAAATGGTGACCCTAGGGATCCTTTTGAGGCTTGAACTCTTGTAGCTCATATGAAGGTATAAGCTGTGTGTAAATATTTTAGTTTTGGTCATAGTTCTAACAAGTTTTTAATAAGGAGGAAGCGATGTTGAATTTAAAAATAATAAGAATTGGATTAATTAGTTTTCCAGGATTTATTGTCTTGCATTTGTATCTCCTTCATAATTCTGTTTATAAAAAAGAACGTGTGACAAAAAATTTGCAACCCACATTGTTCAAGGAAGGAAGGAAATGCGTAATAAAAGAAATCCTGCTGAGATTATATAAGGAGATTACATCTTAGGAGATATCCCAACTTCACCTAGTTTTGTAGTTTCTCTTTTAAGCATCAAACATTCATAGTTCAAACTCATTTGCACAACTAATCTTGTAAAAGGTAAATGGTGAGACTATATATCCTGGTCGAGGCTTTAATGCTATGGTGGTTCATATAATCATATGTATGAATGCATCAGTCATGTGTAATTTTACGGCTGCGGTCACACGAATGCCTCTTCTTAACTCCCATGCCATGCCTTGTGTATATAGATATAGAATCGTAACAATTCTAGTTGTGGCTGAAACTAAAAGTTCCATTATTATTATAGATCTATTTAAATTACCAAAGTTCAAAGTTTTTCAATTATTTGGATTTAGGCTCAAATTCATGCATTCACTTGAAACTCATAATTGGCTTCATGTAGAAATGAATAACTTAGAATATGTTGGTCCAGAATCCTCATCCCTCTCATGTTAGTAATATATGAAGATTTGGTTCAATTTATTAATCACTATTCTATTTTTCTTTTGAAATATTTCGTTGTTCTGAAAACATGATGTTTATTGATGCCCATTCGTTCTTTCAAACCCTTAATTCTCAAATTCATCCCTGAATGAGTGACATGAATACTTTCTTTATCATGCGAGCAGTTGGGCTGATGGCTAGTTGAAATATAGCTCAAATAAATGAAATACTATTATACCAACTATCATTTCTATTAGTAGATTAAAAAAATCTGGGGACTTATATATTTTCTCCCATCAACAACTTGCTTGTTAGATGGGTAACATATATTTTCTTCCAAAGAATTAAAGTGGTTATGCATTATTCAAGAATGATCTTCAGGGTTTTCCACTTTTCCCTGTTGATGAGGAATTAGGTTTGAGAATTAGAAGATGATGTTGGATGGTGATCAGAGATGCCAAAAGTTGTCTCTTCAGTCTTAACGTAAGCCAACTTTGGAGAAGATACGAAGACTTTTACTCGTTTGGTTGTTCTTCTATTTAGCATCTAATTTCTTTAGAACGTGAGAGTAAGAGCTAACATTCCATTTGTTTTAGACTTGGTTAAAATTAATTTTGAAAGAAATTAGGTTGAAAAGGTGATGCGGTTGAGGATTATATTTTAAAACTTTCACAAATATTGATACTGTTTGAATGGTGAGATGGTACTATTTTGAAGTGAAATTATAGATATGTAATAATGTAATGGAGTAACAATCACATGAAATCAAGTTAGGCAAGTTTTTAAAATAAAATTAAATAATTGAATTATATATTTCTAAGAAAAAAAATCTAGAATGAAAGACTAAATGATAACAATTCATAAGTAAATATGACTATATCGGGAAGAGAATATTTATTTTGTGTATATTTACGAAATTTAATAAAGATTAATCATTGTTTTTGGGTGAATATTTTGTATTAATATTATAATTATAAAAAAAATTGTAAACCTGAATGCACTAATCTTTGCAAATTAACATCATGTTCATTAGATTGAAGATATTTTTCGTTGAAAAAATTTACAAAAACTAGCATAAAAAAGTATTGTGTATTTTGTGTTTGTGTATTTTATTTACAATAAATATATAAATAATCTTCGTTGAATATATGAAAGCAGTTAAGAATTGAAAGATTTGAATAATCTTGAACAATGTAAAATAAAATATTTATTTATAAATAATTTAAAAATATTAATGTTTATTGATTTGATTGGTGTTATGATTGATCCACATATCTTAATGTCTCGAGTTTGAGTCTTGAATTTAATTAAAAAAAATGATCTTGAAAAGGATAATCTTAATGTACTCAAGGTAATTTCTCCTACCAATACCATAATATCAAAAAATAATTAAAATAAAAGTAGGTAAATTATCAATAGATATTTCTATCAATATTATGATATAAAAAATAATTTAAAAATAAAAATAGGGACAAATTTTTCTACTTAAAAGTGGACATGATTATCAAAATTGATATCAATTAAGTTAATTATATAGATATAGAATAAAAATTGAAATCATCAGTCTTAAGTTCTAACTAGCTTTTTTAGCAATGGAAACTTCATTTGAACATCATGAATAAAATAAAAATAATAAATAAATAAATAAACTAGTTTTTTATGTGCACCATTTCTCATTTATTTAGAATGGTTACAAATTATCCGCAATCCTCATTGATTTGCATTAGTTGGCCTTTTGGGTTTAATTCAACTTGGTTTGTAGAATTATGGTGAATATTTTTTTTCTTTTTAAAATGAAGAACAGATAAATTTGGAGAGCTTGTAGCCTTATGTAAAGTTATGGACATGCCTAATCTTCTAAATTGAAATATACTTTTTTTTATTATTAATGATAAACCAAAATCTAGTCAATTTAAAGTTAAATTAGAAAGGGTTGGAGAATAAAAGTCAAATTTTTATACTTATGTAGTCTTTATTTTTTTAAAAAAATATTAAATTAGAAAACAAAATATAATGATGACTACTATTATTTTAAGAGTATGGTTGTATTATTATAAGAGGATTGAAAAAAAATACTCAATAGTCGTTGTACTTGCAAAGAAATACTAAGAATTTCTAAACGAGAGTTGTCGGTCCTTGACCCTTCGTCCTTAAGATGCAATTAGTGATGGTACATGCAAAAGGAACTTTGATGTCAAAGTTAACAAACAATCAGAGTGTTCAAATCTTGTCTATAAAGTTATGTACCTTGTAAAGGTAAAATGAAGGTATATATAATTGAAAAAATGTTACCATTAAGGATTTGGTCATTTTAGTGTATTTAAGGTTTTTTATACTTGGGTCTAGGTACATGGCCAATAGCTTGTAGTAGCCAAGATTTGTAATACCAAGGTTTTATACTTGGATTTAGGTATTTGGCCGAGAGCTTATACTTAACAAAGGTTTGTAGTATCAAGATTTTATACTTGAGTTTAGTATTAAGGTTTTATACTTAGGTTTATGTACTTGGTCAAGAGTTCGTGCTCGACCAAGGTCTTTAGTACCAAGATTTTATACTTGAATTTAGTATCAAGGTTCTATACTTGGATTTAGGTACTTGACTGAGAGCTCGTACTCGACTAAGGCTCATCTTTTGCTTTTTTGATAACTTCAAAACGAATTTGTACAAAAATGTAGATGTAAAACATTTATTAATGATATTGGTGTGCGTTGTTAAAATTTCTATGGTCAAAACCCTTTATTATTTATAGGAAAAAAGATCGGTGGTTAGAAAGAGTACAACACCTCATTACAACCTTAGGCCTTGAATAAAAAAATTAACTATATTAAAACTCGAGAAGAGACACATCCCATGTCCTTAGAATCTCTTCACCTGATAAGTATTCAAGCTTTTATGTTCCGTTGTTTAGACTTTGAGTCACTTTGAAGTGTCCATCACAATTTGATAACTTTCCTTTAGTCATGTCCTTTGTACAATAAATCTCCCTCTTAGAACTATTTTCTAATTAACTGAGAAGCATGGTGCTGACTTGCTTTTCTATGACTTGCCTCATATTGGATTTGAGTTCGATCCTAGAGGATATCTACCAAGTCAAGCTCAACTCGATGGAAAGAGCCTTTATCATCTTGGTGCAAAATTCTCCAAGGGAAGCTTCTCTTATCTTAACCTGCAACATTGTGTTGACACCATAGGTTAGCCGGAAGGTGTTTCCTGAGTAGTGGAGTAGGGAGTACACGTGTAAGCCCATAGCACTTCTGGCAACTCTTCAACCTATTTACCTTTTACTTTCCCCAATCTCTTCTTTAACTCCACTAAGATGACCTTGTTGGTAGTCTCAACTTGACTATTCTTCTAAGAATGCTCAATAGAAGAGACTCAAAGTTGGATTTGGAGTCTGTCGAAGAATTCATTAAGTTGTTTATATGTGAATTGCTTGTTGTTATCGATTACAATGGTCTTGGGCATTTAAAATCAACAAATAAGATTCTTCCAAATAAATTATTGCATATTCTTTGTGGTGATTCAACCTAGTGGTTCGACTTTTATCCATTTAATAAAGTAGTTAACTACTACCAACAAAAACTTGCATTGACTTTTAGCAAGAAGGAATGGACCCAAAATATCAATACACCATATAAGGGTGAGCATTAAACCGAGACCCGAACCAAACCCGATAAAAAATATTGCTTTTGGGTGGATTCGGGCGGGTCTTATGGGTAAATCGGGTTAAAATTTTGATTTTATACGGGTTATATTGGGCGGTTCAGTTTTGAATTTTTAAACCCACTAAAAACCAAACCCAACCGAAAATGAGATAAATTTAAATTTTTATTACTTTTGTATAACTAAACAACAATGGTCCAAACTTAAAAGTCTTTATTTCAAGTATAATATAGCCATCAATTTGTAACTTATTTTTTTCCTTTTTCTCATAACTTAGATATTTATTTTGTCTTCTCCTTCCTCATTCAACTTCTCAACACACTAGTCCATTTCTAGAGTTATCTTTTTGCTTCTTTCTTTATTTTTCTTTTCCATCTTCTTATCTCCATTTTGAGTACAACTTGTGCGACTGTAATTTCTTATGCGTTTTGTAATCTAACTTTAGATTTCTTTTGCATGTAACAACTATGAATTTTGTTATCTTTTATTTTTGCTTCTTTAGTTTGTAAATATTTCATCTACGAATCTACTTACACCATCTATTGTCACCTTCATTCTATTTTTATACTATTTTAAAAATATTTTTTTATCGTTTTAAGCTTCATCTTC